CCCACCCTCCCTCCACCCTCCCAGTATCGCTGCCACTCTCACCACTGGTCCTGATGGGATCATCCATCCTGGAGTCCCATCATATTGCTTTCTTGACAGCTGTTTCCTCAGGTCTTGATTGTGAATCTAAGTAAAATGGGATCCTTGGCAACTTCAATCTTTCTCCATTTATCATGATGTTGCTTAACAGTTGTGGGAATTTTTGTTTTATGTTCAGGTATAATCCCAACTAGGAGCCCTGGTGGTAGTAGTTACACTTTGGGCTGAGAACCACAAGCTTGGCAGTTCAAAGCCATCAGCTGCTCCCTGGAGTGGCTTTCTGCTCCTATAAACAATTAGTTTAGGAAACCCAGAGACAGTTCTACCCTGTCTTACAGGGTTGCTATGCATCAGTATGGGACTTGATTGCAGTGAGGCCATTCTTAAGGCAAGTGTGTTATCTGCATATTGCAGGTTGTTAATGAGTCTTCTTCGAACCCTGGGCATGTTCTTCATCCTGTAGTTTTCCCAGATTACATGCATACAGATTAAGCAAGTATGCTGAAAGGATACAACTCTGACACAAACCTTTTCTAATTATAAACTACACAGTGTACTCTCCTGCTTGAAAAGACTCTTCTTGGTCCAAGTACAAGGTTCGGCATGAACATAATTAAGTATTCTGGAATTCCCATTATTTGAAATGTTATCTATAATTTATTATGATCCATATAGTGGAATGCCTTTGTATAGTCAATACACTAGAAAGCTCAAGATTTATTTGTAGCAGATAAGTAGCTATCAAGAGTAGCTGTTAGGGCCTTCTGTTTTTAACTCTAAAACTGACATATAACGTTCAAAGGATACCAGATGTAGTACAGAATGCGGTACCCCTGAAGCAGAAAATCTGAATATTTTATACTCAGATGTCAAATAACTTTCCTTTTAGTACATTAACTTGAAAAACACATTTTACGTAGCCTATTTTATATTTTCGTAGTAGAGACTAGACAGAAGCATGCACCAATTCAACATGTACAATTCCAAACCATTGACGCCGATTATTCAAGGTACGCAACCATTCTATTAATTTTTTTGAAGTCAGCTGCTCCGTAGCTGAAATTGGCACACAGCTGCCAAAAGAGGTCACGGACACAGTGAAATAGCATCTCTGGGCCCCAGAACCCTTTCTGCTGAGAAAATAAAGCGAACCAGCTCCCAACACGGCGAAGACTAAATAAACGGTCAGGCAGACAGGTACCCTAAGTTAATGATTTTCTCCCAAAGCATGAGGGACTGCCGGACACCTGAGCACCTGAGAATGGTTGTACAGTATACGGTGGTTGTGTATCAGGCACTGGTTCTGAGTGTCCCGAGACATGGAATACAAGAGAAATACAAAATATGTATTAAAAATGAGTAAAACGACGGTGTGAGGTTAGTTTTCGAACGAATCTGCTGTTAAATTTTTGGACCTTTAGAAACTCAGTTATTGGGGTGCCGCGTCAAGGCGGGGTCCGCGAGCGCTAGCTCACCTGGCCACTCCGAATTCCTACAGGAAGCACACCCTGCCCCCGGTGGGCTGACCCGGAAGTGCTCGGCGGCCGCGGCGGGGGCGTGGCCAGAAGGCGCTCGCGCGTGCGCGCTCCCCGCGGAGCTCCCGCTGGCCGGCCCCGCGCTCTCCCGGAGGCGCGCCCCAGCCGCTGCCAACATGGCCGAGACCAGCGAGGAGGTGGCGGTGCTGGTGCAGCGGGTGGTGAAGGACATCACCAACGCCTTCCGGAGGAATCCGCACATGTGAGTCGCGCCCCGGCGGCACCCCCTCTTCCTCCGCTGGGGGGGTCGTTAGGGTCGGGGGCCGGCGGGCGGGG